GAGAAAATAGTTATATCTGTATGAAAAATACATGGAATTGGATCAGGTCTAGTTATAAATAAATAGCATCTCTCAGTCCCAACCCCACAACTTCCATACTCTTCTCTATAATGCTGGAAATAAGGTGTGTTTGCTCACCTTCTGTTCAATTCTGCTACAGAGGATAAGAAACGCAAAGAGGACAGAAGAAATGCATCAGATGTAGTAACTGTAGATAAGTAAGCAGGTCGCTTGTGAGACACAGGCAGAATTCAGGTGTGCTAAAAATAGGTGGTACATTTATAATCTGTAAGATGTAAGAATACAGGAAATGGAAGGTATTATTAAAAGAACAGAGCAAACAAGAGTGTTCCTGACAGGTAGGAAAGAATGGGGAAATCAAGTCATAAGGTATAGTACATGCCACCTCAGGGCTGACAGCCAGTTCATCCCCAAATTTTTACCTGTTGGTGACACCATTCTGGCCTCTGAGTGCTCAGTCCCAGGAATGCTGACAAAAGGGATGGCTGCCCAGAACACCGATGAGCTAGCTGTGTGAGCAGACCTATCTATGGCCAGGACTTGTCCTCATGTCTCCCAGTATACCAAGTATACATTGATTCCAAGTATATAACCTCAGTTCTGTCCTCATGACTACACTATTGGAGCATGACACAAGATTCATGTAGTGTGGTCCTTTCACCTTGTTTGCATCCTTCGCAAGGGGTTAATCTACCCCAACTCCCCAACTCTTTCCTCTTGGTTCTGGCTGTGGGTTTCATATATATATATATATCATAACATCGATTGGCTGCCTCCTGCATGCCCTCCAATGGGGATTTGGCCCACAACCCGGGCATGTGCCCTGACTGAGAATCTAACCGGCGAACTCCTGGTGCATGTGTTGACACTCAACCACTGAGCCACACTGGCTGGGCCTGGCTGTGTGTTTTAAAAAGACTCAGTAACCTTTATGATTTAATCAGCATGTTTTGGTCTGAGCCTTCTTGGTCTGTGGTCTCTATAGCCTGCCTAAGTGTACTTGGAGTCTACCACTACATGGTGCTAATTTCCCACAGGACACTGGGGCTGGGAATCTACACACTGCATTTTCCAGACTCTTTTCTTAGCTGGTTTCCAGGTAGGTTCTGGAAAGAGGAGGCACTGGAGAGAGACTGGAAGGCAGGAAGAGGAAAGAAGGGACTCACTTCTGACTTCGAGTTCTCCTTGCTCCCTCTAGCATCTGAATATCTCTGCCGCCAAAGACGCCCCCTGCCAAAACTGGGATCCAACCCCGTGAGCTTTCAAAGACCCAAAACAAGTTTGCAACATGGGAGGAAAGTCTTGGTTCCAAAATATGAACTTTAAAAATCAAAATGAACAAAAGTTTTATTAAATGCTTACAAAAGGTAAATCTAGCCAACTCGTAAACTACAATTCAGCTCTTTAACTGCTTTATATAAATGTACTAAAGTTTGAATTATAAGAACAAAATGAAAAATATATTATAGAACAAAAAAATTGAAATCCTTTCTTTTTATAGTTTTTCTTTTCTTTTTTTTGATTGTTTACTTCAAAGAGTTGTATTTAACCTGGGATGAGTGTCTATTTAAAATTTATCCATTTGATGTGTGTGTGTTTTGGGGCTGGGGCTGGGGCTGGGGTGAGGAGATGTTCAAAAGTAAGGGTGGTCATGACCTGGAGATCTATAAAGAGCCTGAAAGAGCCTCTCACTCTATATATTTCTGTTATACCATTCACTATGTGCAGTGTAGTTAACATCTGATTCTGGCAACAGCTTATGTAATGAAGTAGGAAAGCAGAGACTTTGAGGATCAGCCAAGAAAGGCTGGAGCTTTGAAGAAACTTGCTAATTCAACTCTATATGGCCTAAGAAGAAACATAAGGCTGGGGTCCCAGGGTGGATATATGTCCAGTGGCCAAAACTTGATTTCATGGGTGGTTGTGTTACCAGCAATGTTGGCTCTCAGTTCTCGAGTACAATAAAGAAATAAGTCCGAGCCAGAAATTCTAGTGCAAAAGGAAGTGAATTTTGCATGCAAAATGAAAGTACACTCAAAGATTCAAGTGGACTGCTCAGAGAGCTACCTTGACCTTTTAGAGAGAAAGTCACAGAGGTAGAAGTGAGCCAGCTGGGCTGCATGTACTCAGGAAACAGGTTACACAGGCAAAAGAAGGACTCTTAAAGCTTAGGAGAAAGAAAGCAAAGATACACTCCTGAAGAAGGAAGGTGTGGGTGTGCTCTAGAGAGAAAGAGAGAGCATGCACTGGGTCCTTTGTCTCAAGGGTTTTTATCTGTTTTCTAAAGGTGAGAATTTTAGGGGTGGTCTCAGGGGAGGGTCTCAATAGAATATTCATCAGGTTTCCAGATGTGTCCTTTCAGGATTCTGGTCTCCACTAATTGGTTGGTGCTAGGATAAGGGGTCATTAGTCATTGCCTCTGGTCCTTATGCCAGCCATGGAATCACTTCATCTGATTTTGCTGCTTTTCTGGGCCTGGAGCTGAAACACAACTGAGGCCTAGATGTTATCCCTAGTTTGACCAAAACTCTGTCTCTGTGGTCAACAGATCCGAGGCTTTGTTCCTAAGATTATTTTATGCTGATCAGAACCTCATTGTCCTGAGGACTTAATACTTAACGGGATGGTCATACAAGGGAGAAGGAGGCAAGTGAGTCAGGGTGCTGGATGAGGCCAGTTTCAATCAGCTCTCTGTCTCTGTTCCCCCATTCCATTTGCCAAAGAATTTTCCTGGCTTCTTACTATTTCTGATTCAGTTGGGAATAGATTGTGTGTGCTTAGAAAATAGGCAGAATAGCTAGTTAGTGTTATGGTTCTGGTGTCATCCATAGCCTTGCAGGCCAGTGAAAAACAGCTCTAGTTCTTAGAGGAAGGGATTTGTCAGTCTCTTATGCCTCCATTTGTATCTTCCCTCTCTAATCTCTCTCTCTCTCTTTTTGTACTTAGCATGTCTTCTTTCTTTGCCAGGGCTTATGAAACTTCAGTGTGCATAAGAATCACAGAGAGTGCCTATTAAAAGTGCAGATTCCCGGAACGTCCCCTTGGTTCTGTGCACACCATGCTTTGAGAAGCTCTGCTCGGTAGGATCATTCTCTCTGTCCTTTGTTTCCAAAGCTAGTTCAGAAATCAGGAGCTAGAGACAAGTTCTTTGCTGCTTCCCTTGGTCCAGCTAGGGGAGACTATTGGCATTTGAAGTAATCAGAAGAAATTACTGAGAATGGAGGAAGAGCCAAGTGAACCAAAGTGGTTGTCAGTATGAAGTCGACCCAGCTCCTGGAGCTAAGAGGTGTGTGTGTGTGTGTGTGTGTGTGTGTGTGTGTGTGTGTTTGGAGGGTGGTGCAGGGTGGAGGGGTGAAGCTAAATTGGGAGTCCGAAGCACAAAGGCCTCATTTTAAAATGTATTTTGCAGCTCTTCTGGCCCCATCTGCAGGCCCTTGAGATCACAATGCAGTCAGATTGGAATCACCATTTGCACTTTGAAACAGATAAATACCATACCATTGTGTTCTATCAAATTTGCATCTTTAGCCTTTGATTTTATTGTGAAATTAAAGTCTTTGTTTCCTATTTAAAGGAAAGTTGAAGAACAAGGTCAGAATAGGGAGTTTGGGGGTTTATTTTTGTACCTAGACACCCTTCTGTGAAAACCAAATTTATAGTAGGCTAGAGAAGGACCATAAAGATAAACCCACTTTCATAATGCCAGGGGGTCTGCAGAGAAGTCATCAAAAAGGATCAGAGGGTTCTGGTCTGGCTTCCTTTCTCACCCTTCGGGCTATGTGGTGCAGACATCATGAAAGAAGCTGGACTGGGTGTTTGTATTCCTGGGAATCCTCTCAGGACCTCAGAGCATGTTCTCCCAGACTTCTCCTTATCTCGTCTCCTCCCTGCTGCCGTCATCTGCTCCTGGCTCCTCTCTCCTCCAGTCTCTACCTCCCCAGTCCAATCTGTGACTAGGCTGCCTGCCCAGCTCAGTTTCTGCAGTTCAGTTTACCACCATCCTGAATGACTAGTGAGCAATAGGGAGCTCCAGGATCAACCAGAGAGTATGGGAGGGAGTCGGGGAAAGTCCTATTTATGATGGGAGAACTGGATGAAGGCCCTGGAGTCCTGGACCCAGGGCTGGACGGGGGATGCCTAAAAAGAGACATCCAGGTACTAAGGGAGTCCTTTGTCTTCATATTGATGGTGACACTTAGGATCTAACCATGTGGGAGAATAGGGCTTGTCTGGGGGGTGGGAGGGAATGAGCTTTAAATGAACACAAATAGACAGATTGCGCAGGGAAAAAAAGGAAAGAAAATCGACAAGGATGGTTTGGACGGGTAAAATGCATAATTACAGTCATTTGTGTGTCCTTCTCACTCATTACGCTTCATTAACATGCAGCACAGCCTCCAGACGACTATCATTACATGCATCAGACTGGACACGTGGTATGTTTTACCTGATTAGTAAAACGCTCACACTTGTAAACTCAGGTCCTCACAGTAGATTCCTTCTGCAAGATTGTTCTTGACTTAAAACTTTAATGAAGAAAAGCAAAAAAAAAAAAAAAAAAAGAATGGGAAGCCAAAAAAAAATTAAAGGAAACTTGCCCCTGCCCTGGCCACCGGCAAGGCTGACACAAAGGGGTTAAAAGTTAAGTGGATGTGAGCTTGAAGAAGTAAGATGGGGCCTCTACATAAAGTTGAGCAAGGCATCTGGGGCCTGCACAAACCTCCACCTTTTTTGGCCTCGAAGGCGGCAACCCCAGCCTCCTTCCTAACGTCCTCTGCCTTTGGGACTGAGCAGGGAAGCTCACGTTAGTGGCAGCCAAGGAGAGGGGCCGGCCTTGCCAGGACTAAAGAGGGAGGGGAAGGGAAAAGCAAGAATCGCCCACCCCGCTCCCGGGAGGAGGGGCGGGAGCAGCGGGTCCCCGGCCGGCCGAGCAAGCAGCGTCTTGGGCTCTGTGCATCTCTCCGGAGCCGCGCGGGAAGGATGCTGGGCCGCAGGGGCGCGCGCGCGGAGCGCGGGATGCCGCGGGGCTGGACCGCTCTCTGCCTGCTGAGTCTGCTGCGTGAGTACCCGCCGCGCGCGCGGCCCGCCGGGCTGGGCGGGGAGGGTCGCTGCTCCTCTGGAGGCCGAGCGCGCTCAGCCAGCGAGACCGAGGGAAGGGACCCTCGCCTCAACCCGCGCCCCCACGCCCCCACGCCCATGGCTGCTCCAGGCTTTGGGGGGACGAGGGCCCTGTGAACCGGGTCCAGCCCCTCACCTCTGAATCGGCGGGGCTGGGACGGGAAGGGAAAGCGACCACGCCGTGAGTGTGAACTAGGGTCCCAGAATCGGACAACTGCGACTCTCTGGAGTTGCCTCTGATATAAAGCGCTTTGAAGGTGCCAGTGTCTCTTCGTGTTACCAAAGGTGCGGAGCGCAAAGTTGGAGCCACAGCCGAGAGAGAGGGGAGGAGAGCAGCAGCAGCGTTTTGCAGCTGATCGTGGATTCTGGAAACCGGGGACTGGGCGCGTTGTGGGGCAGGGGGCCAGGCGCCCACCCACCGCCGGGACAGGGGGAGCCAGAACTGGACATTTTAAGGAGCAAAGCCAACCTGGGACGAGGCCTCAGGGCAGCGCGCAGGAGGCCCAGGAGGCAGGCTGTTAGGTGGCCAGAGGAGTTTGGAATGGAGAACAATCCGTGCAAAAATCCTTGCATTTAGGATCGCAAAGCTAAGTTACAGCTCGCTCTTTCGACACCCACACCCGGTCCACTGGAAGGACGGTGGCAGTGGATGGAGGTTGTTCTCAGGCTGCCCCCCTCTCCCACCACGACTCCTGTCCCTGGCACCAACTCGAGACTGTTAGGATTGGGGGTTTTCTTTCCCTGCGCCCCTCCAAGTTCTAAAACTAGTGGACAGGTCAGAAAACTAGCGGATGCCCCTCCTCATCCACAGTGCTCTTATTTCTTAAGGTCTTGCTCTCACTTCGGTTAAAAAAAAAGGGGGGGGGGGCGCCCAGTACGTATCTATCTCTTATTGCTTTCATTTGGGGATAACATTCTCCATCTCATTTTATTGCACTTAGAAGGTTTTAAACATTATAAGTTGTTCTCCCTTTTGCTCAAGATTCTGCCTTCAGCCCTGTAGGGCTCCCAATTCCCTACTCTTACTAAAGGCCAGCCAGCATGACCCCACGCAGTGGTCTGGGCCAGCCGGCCAGGACTCTTTGCTCTCACCCTCTTCTGCTGTCCCTCTTTGGGTCCACCCATTTGGAGAGCGACTGGTTCCCACCGGAGGAAGCTCTAAGTTAGGCTCTGGGTTGACCTGTTTGGCAGCCCCAGACTTGCCCTTTGGAGCAGGGAAAAAGCTATCTTGGAGGTGTCAGAACCCTAGAAAGGGGAACTCCCCTGGGTGCTAGACTGTGCCTTCATAACAGGGGTGAGTTGATCAGAGGCTGTGATTCAGATCAGATGCTCCTCTCGGCTTTGACTACACAGCTTGTGATGATGACCTGGTCCTGGGCCCAGCGAGGCCCACCCTTTGCTTATTTCCTCAGCTGGCCAGTCTCAGTCTCGCCTGCAGCAGTGGAGGAGGGGGGAGCAACTTAACCTCTTCAAAACCTCAAGTTGACATGTTGAGAATTTCAGTATCTCAGCTTGGGGGTGGGAGGTGGGGTATGGGGTCCCTATTCTCCGTCTTGCTAGACTTGGCTAGTTTGTTAGCACTATACCTTCCCTGAGAACTTTCTAGGGGGTGTGTGTTTTCTGTCCTGGGATGTATTGTGGAGTAAATGAAATGAGCAACTGTACCTTGAAAGGCGAACGAAGGGACATTTTGGAAATTCTGCGCTATTATTACTGTGAAATTTAGAGCAGAACGAGGTTCTGTGGTTTTCTCATCACTTAGACACAGAGCTTTGTTCTGGGAAGTTCTTTTTTCTGTCCCTGTGAGAAGTTGGCATGGGGAAGGGCATAGCAACCAACCAAAAGTAGACTTTCTTTGTTGGAAATCGGTGGCTTTGGGTGGCGATGGGAGGCCACCAGGAACCATTGCCACACCACCAGCTGGGAAGAGGAGACTTCAGGTCATTAGGGAACCCCAAGTGTCAGGTTCAGGGTTTTCTCCAAGCCCTCCATGGCCTGTGCTCTGATCTCCCTAACGATACCCCCCAGTCCCACCCCCTCACATTCCTCTTCTTCCTTTGGGTCTCTCTGTGCCTGCAGACCCCACACCCATATCCTGTCTGGGACTACATGTAAGAGGGGAAAAAAGAAAAGGGAAAAGAATTTTATCAGATATTTTCCAGAGAGAGGACTCCACCCTTTGAATTTCTGCCACATGGTGACTGAGGAGGAGCAGCCTTGGGGACCTCTGACTAATTCAGTGGCCCCTAGTACTCTCACTCGGAGGGCCAACCCTGCTGGCACAACCACCGCAGACGCAAGTCTTCAGCAGCATTCCTGTTTGACTGATAAAAACAGCACCAGGGCCTCTTTCTCTTATCCCTTTGGTCCCACCTCCTGGGAGCCGCCTTCACTTGCCCTCATCTTCTTCATTCTCTGATGCTTTGTCTCCAAAAGCTCAGGGCGCAGGGTGCCAAACTGCAGCAGATAAACTCCTGTGCAGTCTTACAAAAACAAATAAGAGGGAGGACCAGTTTCCACTTCTGATGGTCTCATTGCCTGATTTCCTTTAGACCCTGGGCAGGCAAGCCCGGGCTGCCTTTCGGGGTTGGATGGCTACCCAGCTCCACCCTCAGGGAGCCGGGCCTCCCTCAGTCATTGACTTCGCTTGATCTAACGAAATGGACTGAGCGTGGAGAACTGAAACTGTGGAGGTATGGAAACAGAACAAAAGCACCACCCTTCAGAAGAAAAGGCTTGGAGTCGCCAGGGCGGAATTTCCATATTTTTCTGGGCTTTGACTTCTCTAATGAGAACATTTTCTTCCCTCCTCAGCAAAGAAATAAAAGCACATTATCTATGACTTTAAGTCCCCAGGGCCCCCAATTTTGCTAAAGAAAAAGATGCATGCATCTTGGGAGGATGAGCTACAAATGAATGGGGATGTGTCCTCGGACCTACATGCCAGAGGCCATCTGGGAATGAATCACTAGGAAAAGGCCTTTTGGCTTCATTGGAAAGTCTGCTGTTTGTTGTTCTGGGGAAAAAAAACAACAACACAAAGAGCCTATAACGGATACCTTCCAGGGGAGCAGCCTCTCTAGGTAGCCAGTTCCATTACTTAAGAAAATTCCTTAAATAGTCTTTGGATGAGACAACCTAGACCCCTGGACAACCTGAATGTGGGATTCAACAAGAGATTTAATTGCTCAGCATGATAAAAGAAAATGGAACTTTGTATTTGATGAGCCCAAGAGGCAAAAGGCTGAAGGATTCCAGAGTCCAAGAAGATGGAGAGAGGAGGGGAGGTGCCTGGAACAGTAGAGGGACGGTGTTGCGTAGAGGGTGGAAAAGATCTGGCTAAGAGAATTTCCCTATGGTACGGCATGGGGTTTTCCATCTTGCACAGGGGCGTCCAGAATTTCAGAGTCAAGCCGTTGTCTCTGCTGGGCTGTACTGTAACTGGGCTCCAGGCTTTCCGACCTGCGGTAAGCACACACTAGCCCTGTGTTAGCCTCCTCCCGGGAGAACAGAGGGATGGGTGCTTGGCCAGCCCATGGTGAGGGAGTGCAGACCAAGAGCTGCTGTGGCCTGAGGACCGGGAGGCACAGGGCTTCCATCCAGTAGTCCGTGGCAACCAGGAAATTGGAGGAAGAGGTAACTGGGAGAAATGCAGGCCCCCAGAGAAAGCTTGGGTTACTGGGGTCCCACAGTAGCTGGAGGGGGTCCAAGACACATCATTTGAATGGGAACGGGGAGCCTCAGAGTCACCTCTGGAAGGCGTCAGCCCAGTTCTTTGTTTTGATCCAACAAGGTCCAAACTCCCCAAGACCTATAACCAGGGTGCCTCCTGAATGCTCCCAGGAACGATGGGTGGCTCACGGTCTCCCGGAGTAGTTCATTCCATTTTTTGTTAAAAAAAGAATAACCTCATCATTTTAAGCTTTCCTTGGTATTGCAGTGAAATTAGCCCTCCTGCAACTTCTAGTCATTCATTCCAATTCTATGCTTTCTATTAATTCACAGAATTACTCTGATCTTTCTTCGTGACAATTCTTAAGGCCCTTTGTAGTCACCCCACTAGACTATAAACTCCTTGAGGACAGGGATATGTTTAAATTCTAATGACACTCACACCGTATAGTGGGAAGGAATCTTCTCCCAGCAGTGAGCATGGGCCTTTGCACATTACTGGTGCGTATGAAAAATAAGAATGAATAAATCAGTGGAGAAAGTGATGTATTCTCCCTCCCCAAATCCTTCCTTTCTAGATCAGAGGTCAGCGCACTTTTGCAGTAAAGAGCCAGATAGCAAATATTTTAGACTCTCAAGGCACAGTGGCCTCTGACACATACCCTACTTTATTTTACTTTACAACACTTGAAACATACAAAAGCCATGTTTGGTTCGCAGTCCACGGGCTGGATTTGGTCCACGATCTGTGGTCACCAACCCTGATCTAGATGAAATAACACCAGGCCATCAAACATATAACTTGGTTAACCTCCCACGGACACTCCCTAATTTAATAAATGTCCTCTTAAAATATAGCATCAGATGAGAACCCTCTGCCTAGAAGTGGTTGGTGTGAATGTGCCTGACGCCGTCACCGTTCAGTCCAGGTGTTTATCTGAACCCAGAGGACTGTGCTAGGCGCCCTGAGCAAAACAGAGGGGTAGCAGCGATGGTTCTGGCACTCGAGAAACTTATAATGGAACTGAAGGGACAAGACCGCTACTCGGGAAACAGCGAGCATGATTTGTGCTCGATAAGTGATGGAGAACACGCCTTAAGGTCTTGGAGAGACAGACAGAAAGGGGCCAACACTAAAGAAAACCACTGTTTCTTGAGCGTTTACCAGACGGACTGACTGCTTTACACCCCTTATCTCTGCTACTCCTCAAAACAACTAGGAAGTAGGGACTGTTTTTATCCCCATTTAATAGGTGAGGTTCAAAGAGG